ATATATATATATATATATATATATATATATAAAATATAGTTGCATAAAAAATAAATTGAATTGAAATACTGCACTGAGAAATAAATCGAAGCGTAAAAACGAAAACCCAGAAAAGGGATTTTCAAAAACCGAAAGCATGCGTAAAACGACACGACAAAAGCGTTAAATGGAGAGTGAGGAAATTAGCGTACGGCTTCGGGTTTGCCAATGATACTTGCGACGGTTGAGGTGGCCTCGGAGAGAATGGAAGAGGTATCGACGCCGTCGAGGTTGACGTTGGTGGAGAGGTTGAGGCACGGCATCGTTTCACTCTGCAGCTCTTGCTCTGTTCTTCTGCCACTGATGTGAAAGTGAAACTGAAAGGTAAAATCTCTATCTTTGTTACTCTACTTCGTTTTATCTGCTCCCAATACTTCACAATCCCCACAATACCCTTATCCTGAATCAACCTTTTCTTCTTACTACACCTCTCTGTTACTTTGGTTATTTAAACGAGAAAGAGGATATGAATGTCCAAATGAACAAGTTTCATGGACTGTTCGAAGAGTCCATTTCAATTGGGCTAACTCAATCTGAAAAAACAAAACATAGGGGTGTTGAGCCTGCACTTCCCACCTTTTCATCTTGCACTTTTAATTTTCTAAAATATATATAATTAATAGAGTGCTTATTTATTAATTTTATGTTTGTTGATAATTTTTGTGTTAAGCATTGACTACACCCCATTTTCTCCTATTATGAAACATGCACCCTTGCACTCCCATGAGAAACCCTACACCCCATTTGAATTGCACCCATGAGAATCTTTTCTCTTCCTTAATATTTTTTTCTCTTAATTCCATTTAATTTATTTTGGTTGAGTGTTTTCCTCACCAGCTCATATCAATTGTTATCCTTTTGAGTGAGGGTGGTCTTCAGAGTGAGTGTGGTCTTTAGAGTTAAGGAATATTTAAGAGGGACTGTTAGTGTTCCACTACAACTTGGAGTGGTGCTTCGAGCAGGTTTGGAGTGCTTCGTGTTGGTGTTGTTGTTGGTTACGTTGGTGGGAGATTGTTGGTTGCATTGCTGGTGGAAGGTTAGGATTTTATTTTTTTAATCAGTTTCCATAAGATATAGAAATAGAGAAACATCAATCATGAATGAGATATGAAAATTCGAAAATCACAACATCAAATGTCGAGATCCGATGTAGGATGAATCGGATGTGGACATCCAATGTTTTGATTTTCAGATTTTCATATTCGATTCATGTTTGATCTCTTTCAAATTTTTAAATTATATTCCTTATTTAACTATTGTTATATTAATTTATAATCATTTTAAAATTTATGTATGAGTTTATAATTTAATTATATAACTTTTAATTGTTATAGATTAATCTGTATCAATTTATTAAAATTAATAAAACTATTTTAGAATAAATATAAACTAAACATGTGCGCATCAGATATGAATATCTGAAAGGGAGTGTATCGGCTCTCTATATCCGATTATACCTATATCGATGGTGGATATCCTATATAGGTAGAATCAGAAATGAAGATCTGATACACACCCTTTTAGATATTCATATCCAATATATTGTGCTTTGATACGCGTTAATTATTATATGTTGTGCTTTTGCATTAACTTAATTTTTATAATTATTATATTTTGTTAATATAAACAATGCATTTTAAATGTTTAATTTTTATAATATAAAAAATGCACATTTATTTAAATTATTTATAAGTTGATTATATTATTTATAAATGTATAGTTTATAGTATTAGTTGATGATTTTATAATTTAATTTATTGTATTAGGTTTTTATTTTGTTAAAATTTATGTGTAATGACTTTTTTTCAATTAATTCAAAAAGTTTGGTATTTAAAATTCATATGAAATTTTTTAATAATTTTTTAGATAGTTATAGTCTTATTATTTTGGTTATTTTTTTAATGTTTATTATAATATTTATAAATTTATAAATGTATAATTTATTCTAATGATTATATAATTTAGGGTTAAATATGTTTTTAGTCCCTAAACTATTGACCGTTTCTGGTTTTCGTCCCCCTTCCAAAGTAAGGTACAATTTAGTCCTCAATCTTTAAAAAACGTTCGTTTTAGTCGAAAAAACGAACGTTTTGAGGACTAAAACGAGGACTAAAAACAAAATTTTGAGGACTAAAACGAACGTTTTTCTAAAGAATGAGGACCAAATTGTACCTTACTTTGGAAGAGGGACGAAAACCAGAAACGGCCAATAGTTTAGGGACTAAAAACATATTTAACCCTATA